TTGGGGGTGGTTAATGAAAGTGTTACAAAACGCGACATTAATTTATTAACGACCTAATATTTTTTCCCAAACAATTCCTTTTGGGTTATTAACTTTAATCTGTATCGTTAAAAGTCAAAATTTATGCCGCAACTAACTTCGTGAATGTACTTGTACTGAACGCTATTCATAGTTAAAATATTTATTTAGTAAAATAAAAAGAATGACGCATTAGATTGATTGGATTATTAATATTTACATGTTTGTAATCCAATTCTTAGTTTTTAAAATCACTACCTTATCTATGTTGGAAATGGTATTGACTTAATACTGTCAGTAAATAACTTCTATGTATGTTATGTGATTTCAAAAAACAGCATATATGAATATCTTTAAGACGAATTTTTAAATACGCCATTCAGCCAACGACTTCCACTATTGAGTTGACGAATGGTAAATATAGTTTTATTTTGCTCAGAATTTGAGAGCGGAACAATTCCCAGTTTAAAAATAAGGTTTTGAAATAGTTACCAAAATATTATTATATTCAAACAACAAGAAACTGTTCATTATTTTATTTACTTCTGTATGTTTAAATCAGTTACAAATTATAAACTTTCAGCCAGAGAAAAAAAAGGTACGCTTTTCATCATATTTTAATGATGTCGAAGATTCGGATTCTTCAACATTTTTCGATTTTTTTATTTTCTTTTGGTTCACCATAGGACCGATCTACACCCCATCTATCGTCTCCGCTGGCTGAACAAATTTTGTCAGTAGCGTGTGATAACGAGAGTCACAACGCCAAGCGAATGCGGTTAGGCCTAAAGCCCATATCAGTCTCCCTGGTAAGTCAGCGCAGTTTGTATTCATTGCTATTGCAGACACGCGTGTAAATTTTACATTCCGAAATTAAATGGTATGTATAACTCGAAAAAGCAGATAACACCGAGATAACACTCAGGAGTTTTTTATCCACACTATTAAATTTTGCATTCCCTCGTGATAAGTTTCTTATATATGCAAACAGACTACAGAAAGCAACCTGAGAGTACCAAATGCACAAAATAAATTTTGACAAGTAGTCGTGACAGTTTTGTTTATACGATGTATGTATGTACATACCATAAAACATTTAAGATATAATAGAAATTTGTAATATCATGGTTACGACAAAGCAAAACTACTGTTCAATTAATGCCAATTATCCCTCAGTTCGTTAATTTGCGAATCATGCATCTATTGATCAGTCATGTGATCTGAAATACAAATGATTGCTCATTCAACTTGTGCTATCTTTATTGGTCTCATCCAAACTTGCCTCATTTGTCCCTTTGAAGTGAATCATAGTGTAAAGTGTTACAAACTGTTCATGACCCATGGCTAGATCCAAGAAAAGAAACATGGGTGTTTTACTCACGTTGAAAGACATATGACGAAATAATACTGGCCAATCAGTACACTGTTATATATTGGCCAAACACAGCTCATAGTGTCGTCAGCAGAATCAGAAACTTCTTCTAGATTAATGGTAAAGCTGTTAGGATGCCTGGACAAGGTAGACCATTGTCCATAATGCACTCAAATAACCACTATCTGTCAATTCTGGCTTACTGCAGTAATAGGTACCTGCTTTGAGAATGAATCAGATATTTGAACCCGTAATTAGGTGTTATGTAATTATACATTTGATTAGAAACAACCTTCAGAAGGTTAGTTTGTATGCCAGACACTTAATAAATTGTATTCCACTCACAGCAAGAGGAACTCCTCCGGTGGGCCAGCGATGTGTGAAGCAATTTTTGTACAGGTGAGTCGTAGTTCACCCTGCAGTCATCTAACTGGCATATATTCAATTGGATGAAATGTAGAACCAGATCTGACCTTGTTTTCATACAGGGACGTAATGCATCTAATGGTGATGTTAAAAGCATGGTGTGGGTAGGAATAAGCACTGTTGGACATACTGTCCTTTAATTATAAAGACTTTATCCTCTGCTCCCTTATGCTATCATATGCTGGTGCAATATGTCCAGACTTAAACCTAATGGATGATAACATTGCTATATTGATTGACACATTTCTTGAAAAGGAATGGATTGGCTTACTCACTCATTAGATTTCAATCCTGTGAAACATGTATGGGATGCTCTTGGGAGAAGCATCATATTCCACACACTAAAGATGCTCTCAAAGCAGCTCCTTCAGATGTATCCAAGGGTACAACATCGGTGCTAGGCTGCTCTTGTTGTTTATTGTGAATATACTTCATACCGAAATGAAATGTCATGAAATGCAGAGATGTAAAGCAACTTCTATTAAATCTTGATTTATAATAATAGGTTGAATGACCAGTCATTAGCATTTCAGACCACATAACTGATAATCAGGCAACTAGTATGCATAAAATTTAATTGAGGGAAGATAATTGAATTATTATAAATTCCAGATCTTCTTTTAATGTTCCATGCATTTACAGAAGGTTAAGTACAGTGCCTCGCAAAAGTATTCATCCCCTGTAAAGTTTCCACATTTTGTTGCCGTCTGAGCTTTCAATCATGAAACTTTCAAATGGGACTTTATGTTTAGAATCTACACAATCTACTCCAAATCGAGAAAGCTAAAAAACAGTGATATTATGTAAGTAAGTTAGATTTTCAAAGACAAAATTGCATAAGTATTCAGCTCCTTTGCTACAGCATCCTAAATCAGTTCAGGTGCAAAAGATTAGTTTGAAAGGTCACAAAATTAGTGTAATGGTCTCTGTCTCTGTGTAATCAAAATGGTTTAACTTGACTTCACAGTAAATGCATCTGTTCAAGTCACAACTCACATAGTGATACAACAAACCAACCACAAAGACCAAGGAGTTTTCCAAACAAGTCAGGGATAAAGTGGTAGAGAAGCACAGATCAAGTGAAGGTTAAAAGAAAATTTCAAAGTCGCTGATTATCCCTTTGAGTATGGTGAAATCCATCATTAAGAAGAGTAATGTGCTTCATACCACACAGTCACTACCCACATCAGGCTGCCCTTCCAAACTAAACAGCCAGGCAAGCAGAAAACTGATTATGGATGCCATTGTGAAGCCAACAGTGACTTTGAACGAAATGCAAAGTTCCATGTCTGAGTTGGGAGTCAGTACTCTTACATCGACAATATCCCAGTCCCTACACAAAGCTGGCCTATATGGGCAAATGGCAAGAAAGAAGCCATCACTGAAAAGGAATAATCTTAAATCTCGTAAGGAGTTTGCGACAAAGCATGTAAATGATACTGTAGGCATGATGGCAGAAGGTTTTGTGGTCAGACGAGATATAAATTGAGCTTTTTTTGGTCTAAATTCAAAGTATTATGTATGGCACAAGTCCAACATAGTACATCACCCAGTTAACACCATCCCAACTGTCAAGCAAGGTGATGGAAGCGTAATGTTATAGTGATGCTTCTCATCAGCAGGGACTGGGAAGCTTGTCAGGGTGGAGTGTCCCAGTCAAAGTCCTGAATTGAATCCAATAGAACATTTATAGTGAGACTTGAAGATTGTAGTCCATCAACGATCCTCAACGAACTTGTCAGAATTGGAGCAATTTTGCCAGGAAGAATGGGCCAAATTTGCACTATCCCATTGTGCAAAGCTGGTGGAGACCCATCCAGTAGGACTCACAGTGTTTCTACCAAGTACTGACTTAGGGAACTGAATACTTATGCAATGAGCAAATTTAAATTTATACATTTCTTTGCAAGTTTTGCCGACATTCAACCTCCTTAACAAGTAACAGTGTTAAGCTTGATCATTAGAGTTTTGAATAAAAACAAGTTCATTAAAAAAATATTTCCATTATTTGTATTTCATCAAAATGTGACATTACTGGTAGGGAAGGATATTCTTGCAAGGCACTGTACATTATATTAAAACAATTTTAAATACGTAAATCAGCAAGTCACGTGATAACCACAGCCAATATAAAGTTGAGATGAAATTGCATATATCAGAACAACATTTTGACATTTTTTGACGTTTTGTAGGTTGTGGAATGATACCGAAAAGTTGTCACTATTAGCACAATATTCATACACTCAGTTCATAAAGATGTGTTCAGATCGAGGATTTAGATTTTCAAATATGGGAATATCCCTTCTACTTAATGACATTGGAGTAAAAAAGGAATATCGATCAACTTGAGACACCAGTACCATCCAGAGACCTGGTAAGGAGAGTGTAGCAACTTGAAACGAGTGAGAATGCATAAACACATAGATCAGTGGCTACATGTCTCAGGCAACAGTATGCAGCATAACCAAGCAGGATCTTCATCTGGAAATGAGACACAGATAACATGTATACAGTTTGCTTACCTGATATGCACAGAAAAGAAATAACTCCAAAAAACTGTACCTAGCTGGGTAAAAATGGCAATAAAAATGGTGACACTTGTCAAAAAATATGTGTATCTTAATAACTGTGAGAAGTCTCTACTGATCAATGGGTGAGAAAAAAATCTAGAACAGGCACACAATATGGACCTTTCCACACAGAAAAAACGATTCTGTAATGAGACGAGTCCAATAAGGTATGGTTTTACCAAGATAAGGCTCCCAGTTACCTCCTGTTTGACAATTTCACACCTTAACCAACTGGAGAATAAGACGAATATTCATGATATATCATATGAGGATGCAGCGCCTAAAGGTTTTTGTGTAAACTAGTCATACTGTCGATTATGAAAAGTGAGCAGGAGTGGTGTGCTTTGGACATGACAGCTATATGGCAGTTTTCTTCAAGGGAAACTACGTTGCAAGACTATTTTCAAGATGCATGGTTGACGGATGTTGTGATATGGATTGTAAGGACGTGATGAGGCTCCAAAATAGTTTTAATATAACGTAATCAACTCTCCGTATGTATATATAAATATATATATACAGAAAACAAAAAGTTTGTTTGTAATTAAGCACAAATCTACACAATGGGCTATCTGTGCTCAGCCCACCACGGCTATCGAAACCCGGTTTCTAGCATTGTAAGTCGGCAGACATACCGCTGTGCCAGTAACAAAAAGTATAAGTGTGTAATGAACATCATTAGATGTCTTTCTTTAATGGACTTCCTTTCTCTAGGCATATCTGGATAATAGTAAAATTAAATATGTTAAAATAAGACAGGAAGTATAAAGTAAGTGCATGTGAACATCTATATATCAAAAGGCATATAAATGCAAGATTCAGTATTATATTGCGAGTTATTCTTTTAGTAGATTTTATCATTGATTGGGACCATATATTTCTCATATGGAATATGAGATTTCGTATTATTTCAATGTCTTTTAATATCACTGGTTGATATTTTGTATAAATACGCTTGTAAATGAGTAAACATATGGTTTCAGAAGTTTTTCATTTTAATTAAATTATTTTTAATGCCTAGATTGGTAGTTTTAACTTTGTATTAGTTATAACTGATGTAGAATGGCTAGCACTCACTCCACTAAAATGGTTAAACCCTACTAATATACTTAATTACAAACTTGAGCATTTCTTATTGCTTTGCTTCGTTGGAGTGACTTCAGGATTATTACTTTTAATAGGCATGCGCCCCTAGATCACGGTAGCTACAATCGTGTATGTATATACCAGCTTGTCATATTATACTCATATTTAACAGTAGTGATTCATTTATGCCAAGATCTCTCCGAATCTCAGATCTGGAACCTGTTTGGTTGTTGTTTTTATTTAAAGGTGGAAACACTATTCTCAATTTTAGGCCCACCTTCGTTGAATTGCGAATCGATATTTGACATTATTCTCCTCTAGCCTAATCCCAATTAGTAGCCTCAAAAACGTTTAA